TTCAAAAAGATTGTCTTTCTTTTTTCTGTATTATTTGTTCACTCAATATTAACAATTACGTGCAACATTTATGCACTAATACAGTCTCATTAATACAACATCTTTGATGTTGTCCGAATTACGCTTACTTGTCAACACACCTGTTTGCTAACATAAGGCTGAAAAAAAGAAAAAAAAAGAAGAAAGAAGCAAGCATTAAAGAGTACTTCAGAAACGAGAGGCTGAGACAGACTTGTCTAAACGATCAGGTCAACAACAACAAATTTCAAAGTATTTTGAAGCAAAAAACAGGAAAACTAGCCAAGAATATTTGCAGACTTTTTTTCCGTTGTTTTTTTGCTTATATCAAGCCATTCTAAGATAGAATCAAAGAGAGAAAAGGCTGATCTAATCCGGTAAATCCTTAGGATAAAATTGTAGCCTTTGTGTTATATACCCTATACTCCGGCCTAAATAGTTGCTGTATTCAGAAGGTGAAGCAAGAGGAGAACTTCCAGCAAATTTTTCATTTTCATCCATCCTCTATAGTTTTGTTTAAAAGAAAAAATAAAGAAAAAAAAGCAGAAGAAAAATAAATTTAGCATTTTTTTTAGTACTTTAGTCAAATCCTCACAATTTTTTGTTCTTTTTGAAAAAAAAAATGCTTTTCTTCTCTTCTGATTTTTGCTTTATTTCAAATCTATTTTTGTAAAAGATATCAATTCTGTTTTTTTTTTCCTATCTTCAATACGGTATTTCTTCCCCTCTTCGGAAGTCAAAAACAAGTCAAAAAAATTTTTTTAGATCATTTAAATCCGAGTAGTTTTTTTTTTCAGTGAAAATGATCAATGAACAGCCACATAGCAGTGGCAGCAGCAGCAAAGGCGGCACATTGACAACGGTGGTGGCAATCGACAGCAACAACAACGACAAGAATTATACATATGGAATATATAGCAAAAACAATGAATTTGTGTACTACAAAAAAAATATATTAATAGCACATAAGTGAAAAAATTTGAAGATTGAAAAAGTATATCAGTAAAACAAAAAAAGAAAAAAAACGAATTTTTTTCAAAGGTCAATTCATCATTTTTTTCCCCCGTTGATATCTGTCAAAAGTATATTTCCCTATTTCAGTTTTTTTTTTTAAATTTATTTTATTTTATTTATTTATTTTCTTTCGCATGTTTTTTTTCTTTATCTTATCTCTCTTTTGCCCAAAAATATTTAATGCTGTTTTAATGGTGGCTTATTTTTAATTCAATTATCTTTGGCCAAAATGCCAAAGATCAGTGGTAACATCAGTGGTATATTTGTGTAAAAAGAAGGTAAGTTGCAAAAAATGCAATTAATGTTGTTGTTCCGTTTGTTAATTAGTATAAAGCAACAAATTTTTTAACCGATATCAATTAAAGTGTACTCTGCAAGAAAAAAAAAAGTGAATTGCAAGTCATTAATTTAGTAACTAAGAAGAAAATTAAAGAAAATAGCAAAAAAAAAAAAAAAAAAAAAAGAACTCCTTCAATTTTTTCAACATTTCTTCTCCATTTTTACATATGACACAGTTCTTCTGCTTTTTTTTTTTATTAAACTCTATAGAGCATATCAGTTATTCACAGCTGTAACGTTCATTAATTTAGACATTTTGCAGCTGATGGCAAAAAAAGTGACTAGGTTTCCCCTTTGTTATATTGCTATTCCTCATCTCTTTTTTTCCTTTTTTTTTCAAATTATTCGAATAAAAAAAAATTTCCCCAAGAAGATAGATTCAGAAAAGAAACTGATGTTGAATTGTTTTGTTGGTAACCAAAACATTAAAACAACATCCTCTAAAGACAAGTATTTTTTTCCCACAGCCTTCGACTATCCTTAACACATTATTGCTCAGTGTTCCCTTTTTTAGACAGCTCGTTTCGTTCTCACTTTTTCCAGTGCAACACCTATAATTTCCTGCCTTTAAATTCATCAAATTAAATAGGCTTACACCCCCTTCCTCTCAAATTTATAAGCCCATTGAAAATGATTGAACTAAAATTATTCATCTGTTGTAATTTTTTTGCATTTATTTTCCTTATAAAAAAAAATTCGTGACCAAATTTCATCAAAGGTGAACTTTTACCATAATTAAGTAGCGAAATAAGCGAAGAAAAAGACATAAACAGAAAAAAAAGTCAAAGCAATAAGCAGGAAAAATTCGATGGAAATCCAATCGCCACTATATTAGCATTTAAATTACGATGGTATTAGGAAGGAAAAAAAGCAGAAAAAACGTATAAAACAAAAAGAAAAAAAAAGAGAATGATGAAGAAAATTCATGGTAAAAGGCAAAAACCAATTAAACTGCACTTAATCAAGCCCGAAAATTTAATTTTCCAAAATTTATTTGACAGGTGAAAACACTAACCTGATCTCACCAGTAACAGTATCTAATGTAAACGAATTTGTTGAACGTGAATCCTCCGGTGCAGACATTGAATAGTAAATTGATTCGTTGTTCATATGTGTAGCATGAACTTTCACAATCAATGAACCAACTGGAATATCTTCGCGAACTTCGGTGATGTAACGTTCCTGTTGAAAATGTATCGACGGGATCAGTGGATTCCGTCGTCGTACCCATCGTTTTTTTCGTTTCGTCTTCGAAAATATTGGATGTCCGATTCTCAGCTTATGGATTTGCGCTGTATTGCTGTATGGACATCGAAATTTCATCACAACATCCCAAAACGTCGAATAAAAACATATTCGACGCTTTGTAAAGGCTAAACGTGCTTCCAGATCTACTGATAAGTCATCAGACCGGAACTGCACAGGAAGTCCAGCATTTGAGTCTGTAATAGTAAATACCGGTTGCCCAGGATGTAAGCATGGTGGTATAAATGGCGATAACCACCAAATTTGATCAGGTCTAGTTTGAATCTCTGCATCACAGAAAGAATGCTGGAAAACATTCAGCGATGATTCAGAAGCAAAATTTTTGTAAATTAATGTAAAAGTACTGATGACAATCAGTTGCCATGAGGTAATTGGTGATGCTACATTGAGCATTGCAGAAAATTAGAACCAAATATTGCTGCCAATCAGCAGTGATAGGGCAATATTGTCAGAGTTAACAGGTCGCAGAAACAGTGTTGAACAGTAGTTGTAACAGTAGCAAAATTCAGAGAAGAGCAAAAAAAATAAACAGGATATATGAGCTAACGTAAAAATTATAACTGGAGTATATTTGAAGATTAACAAATATCTGCAAAAAA